AAAAAATTAATAAATTTTTATTTTTATTTTTATTTTATTTTTTTAATATGGAACACTTCACGAATTTGCATGTCATCCTTAATGCAGGGACCATGCTAATCTTCTCTGTATCGTTCCAATTTTAGTATATGTGCTGCCGAAGCGAGCACTTAATAAATTTTCAAAAGTAAGCAAAAGATCCGAACAAACACCATACCAAAGAAGATACACAAGGCTAGAGTGTGCCTCACGAGGTAGAGTGCCTGCCTAGCAAGCACCAGGCCTGGAGTTCAACAAAAGATGTGCTTCTGTAGGTGAACAGGCAAATAAATGAGCCATTTGGCCGTGAAAAGATACAACCTTAAATGCATATTGCTAAGTGAAAAAAAGCCAGGTTGAAAAGGCTGCACACTGTATGGTTCCGATTACATCACTTTCTAGAAAGAAAAAACTTTGGAGACAATAAAAAAGTCAGTGGTTTCCAAGGACCGAGGGAGGGAAAGATGAAGAGGTGGAGCACAGAGGGTTTTTAGGGCAGTGAAACTATTCAGGGTTATCCTATAACCTTGTATGCATGTCATTATACATTTGTCAGAACCCATAGAGTGTGCAACACCAAGGGTGAGCCCCAATATAAACTAGGGACTTTGGGTGCTAATGAGTCAGTGTATGTTCCTCAATTGTAACAAATGTGCCACTCTGACGCTGGCGACAGATGGCAGAAGAGGCTGTGCATCTGGGGGAGGTCAGTATATGAGAACTCTCTGTTCTTTCTGCTCAGTATTGCTGTGAACTGATAAGGTCTGTTTTTAAAACATCCATTGGCCCAAAATGGAAGAGTTTATTCCTGGATTTTCAATTCTATCCCATCAATTTCTATGTCTACCCACATGTCAGTATCACAGTCTTGAATATCATAGCTTTGTAGTCAATTCAGAGATGATGAATTGTGAATCCTCCAGTTTTTTTCTTTTCTTTTTTTTTTTGGTTGTTGTTGTTGTTGTGATTTTTTTTCTTTATTCATTTATTCATATGTGCATACATTATTTGGGCCATTTCTCCCCCCTGCTCCCTGCCCCCTCCCTCTCCCCCTCACCCTGCCCCCAGTTTTTTTTTTCTTTTCCAGGAATATGGCTCTTCTGAGTTCTTTGCCTTTCAATATGAATTTTAGGATCAGCTGATAATTTCTGAAAAAGAGGCAGTTGGTATTTTGAAAGAAATTACATTGACTCTGCAGACCAATTTTGGAGGGTACTACCATTTTAACAATATAAAGTCTTCCAGTTGGGCTGGGTCTTAGCATTAGAAAGCTTGCGTGGCATGCATGAGGCTCTGGGTTAGGGTCCCCAGCACCCCAGAAAAGAAAAAAAAGCCTTAGCTTGTGAACATGAATTTCTTTCCATTTTTTAGACTATCTTGATTGATTGATTTTTTTTTATGATACTGGGGATTGAACCCAGGGCCTTGCACATGCTAGGCAAGCACTCTTACCATTTGTACCATGTCCCCAGCCCTTTTATTATTGTTATTATTATTATTATTATTATATTATTCTGCTTTTGGGATAGAGTCTGGATAACTTTGCCTGGGCTGGCCTCGAACTCCCAATCCTCAGGCCTCCATCTCCTGAGTAGATGGGATTATAGGCATGCACCACCACACCATACTTTTAGGTTGTCTTTACTAATGTTTACATAGTTGTCTATGTATATATTTTACATTTCTCTTGTTAAATTTATCCCAAGTGTTTTTTATAAATAAATTTATCTTAAATACTTTTTTTTTTTTTTGCAGTACTGGGGCTTGAACTCAGGGCCTACACCTTGAGCCACTCCACCAGCCCTTTTATGTATGGGTTTTTTCAAGATGGGATCTCATGAACTATTTGCCTGGGCTGGCTTCAAACCATGATCCTCCTGATCTCTTGCCTTCCGTGTAGCTAGGATTACAGGCGTGCCCTGGCACCTGGCTCTTTTTTTTTCTTTTTTTTTGATGTTATATAAACAGAATTATTTTCTTAGTATCATTTCAGGATAGTTCATTACTAGCATATAGAGATGCAACTGATTTTTGTGTATCAGTGTTGTATGTGGCACCTATGCTAAACTTATTAGCTCCAATATTTTCCTTTTTGTAGATTCCGTAGAATTTTGAATATATAAGGTCATGTCATCTGTGGCTAGGATAGTTTTATTTCTTTCTTTCCAATTTGGGTTTCTTTTATTTCATTTTCTTGCCTGATTGCACTGGCTAGAACCTCCAGTACAACGGTAATAAAAGCACGGACGGTGAGTACACTCATGCTGCTCTCGATATTAAAGAAAGATTTTCAGTCTTTTGCTGGTACCTGTGGGGTTTGCCTACATGGTTTGAGGAAATTCCCTCCTATTCCTAGTTTGTTGAGTGTTTTTTCTCTGTCTATGAAATCATTTTGTGGGTTTTATTCTTTATTCTATAATAATGGTGTGTTACACTGATTGAGTTGTATGTGTTAAATCAACCTTGCATTTCTGGAATAAATCCCACTTTGTTTTTCTTTTTTATTTGATTTGCTAGTATTTTGTTGAGTTATTCTACATTATATAAATAAGGGACATTGGCACATAGCTTTCTTTTCTTGTGATGTCTGTTTTGCTGGTCTTGTGGAATAAGGTAAAATGTGCTCCTTCCTCTTTTCTTTCCTGGTGCTTTCTCTTCACTGCATCTTCATGAGTTTGTGTCACTGCCTTGCTCAGTGGGGTCTTAGCACTTGCCTAGCCATCCTCTGAAAATTTACAACTTGGTACATCAAATGGCCATTGTATATTGGTACCTATGACAGGAGGTATGGTGACAGCCCTTCTCAAAAGTCAGTGTTCTAAAACACTGTATGCCAGTTCTCAAGACTCTTATTGCTCAAGCCTTTTGGTGTGAAATACATTTTTCTAGACTTTTGTGGAAGCATTTCAGGACAAAGGACATCTGTTCATTTATGTTTAGGCAGCATGGGGGGCGGGGATAGGGAGATGTCATCTCCACAGGAAGTAGGAGCCCATTTGAGAATTTCCTCAAGACAATATCAGCCAACTATCAGAAAAGACCAAGAAGGACCAGCTAAAGTAGTGTTCTGAGTGGCAATATATGTCTTGAAGTTCAAGACCCTGTCACAGCCTACTGAGCCAAGTCCCTAAGACCCAATTCCATGAACCACCTACAAGCCTGAAAACACATTTAAAGTTCTGAGGGCAGGCACTGGTGGCTCACGCCTGTAATCCTAGCTACTCAGGAGGCAGAGATCAGGAGGATTGCAACTCGAAGCCAGCCTTGGGCAAATAGTTCACCAGACTCTATCTTGCAAAAAACCCATCACACACACACACTCACACACACACACAGAAGGGCTGGCAGAGCAGCTCAAGTGGTAAGAATGTCTGCCTAGCAAGCATGAAGCCCTGAGTTCAAACCTCAGTTCCACAAAAAAATGTTCTGGGGAAAGCAGATGCTTGCTTTGGTTTTGCCTGACTTGGTTGGGTTGTTATCATTTACTGTGAACAAGTTAACAACTTATCACATCAACTTTTTCACTTTCAAAAAACTGAGTAGAACAGAAGGAAAAAGACTCCTGCCCCAGAATAAATGACTAGACACATGGTAGGACATGGGTCTCCTCTGGGGACTGGCATGAAGTGCTCAGTACATGTGGCTTTCAGGAGTGGGGTGTTGCTCTTGGGGTCCCTCAGAGTCCTCCAGGGCCTGCCCGGTGTTCTTAGGCTAGGAAAGGTGTTGTTGGCATCTGAGGGGCTCTGCAGGCACCCCCACTGGAGGACTGCAGTCTGTCTCAGGAGGCCAGCTGCCCACCTCTTTACAGGAGTTGTCTGTAGCTGGAGGCTCAAAACAGTCAATTCACAAAACCCTCTCAAAAGGTTCATTGTATGTCTTGCAGTGTATGACAGCAGACTTCCTGCCAGCCCATTGTAGTTGAGGGGTTAGGGATTGCCCGTGAAGACTCAACCTGATCCGTTCCCCTCACCTCACTGTGCAGGAGCTTTATGAACCCCACACCGCCCTGTGTTGGGGGATCTGGATTTGCGGGATCTAGGACAGGTATTTGCTGTATGGCAGCAAAGTTAAGCTCCACCCCCAGACCTAGACCTCAACCTCGCCAGAACTGAGGGGCTAGTCTCTCATCTCAACCTGGCCAGAACTGAGGGGCTAGTCGCTCATCTGATGGAGTGTGGGGCTCCCCATCTGTGTACGGGTCGCGTGACACAGTCATCCTAGGACTCGGTGCATTCTGGTATCGACCAGTACAGAGTGGGTTTTTTTAGGTGCGTGACGGCAGGGTTGGGGGCGGGGGATGCTGGACCCCGCCGGGGATGGGAGTTGTGGGGCTGTGTTGCTGGATCCAGTGCCTGGGGGCGGAGGCGGGCCCTGCACGCAGGCGGCGGCGTGAGCTGGTGGGGCGGGCGCAGCTCGCAGAGCGGTGGCAGCGGTGACAACAGCAGGTGGGTCGCCGTGGGTCTTGCGGGGCGGGCTCAAGCCTCAAAGGCAGACGGAGGCTGGGGTCTATGGGGACGGGGTCACCACGGGGCTAGGTAGCTCGGGCGGCGGCCGCAGCGGCGGCGGCGGCGGCTGGGTGTGGGAGCGCGGGGAGGTGATCTGGGCCTCGGCTCCAGATCTGGAGCTCAGGGCCCAGGGAGCCCCCGCTTCCTGGCCTGGTGAGCTGACACTTGGGCCTGGCAGCAGGGGGGGTGATCGCTTATCTGAGGCCAGGTGGCTGCGTGAGCCACGCCCTGGCCGCAGCGCCGCTCCCGTTCCGGGTCCTAGAGGCCCGGCCCAGCTCCCTGGGAAGCCTCCCATTTCCCCCTTGCTCCTGGATTCCAAGTCATTGAGCTGTTCCCAGCTTCTGTCACTTTCTGGGGCCACTTCCCCATCCCCAGGGCCACCTACCTGGCTCCCAGGTTGGGCTTGCCCTCCTCCCCTCCGTTCCCCTAAAGGCAGACAGGACTTCCATGCTTCCTTGTGATCCCATAGTCCCTGACCCTTGTCCCATCTCAGCCCTGGGTGCAAGGTGTCCTGGATCCCCAGAACCAAGATAGTGAGGACTGGGGGCTGGCAGTCCAGGAGGGACAGAAGGCTTTCCTGGAGCCGGCTGGGCAGTCTATCATTCACCCTCTGTCTGGCCTTAGTAGGTTCCAGTCACTGACTTGGTGCCCCTCTCAGCTATCTGCCATGGCCTGGGGACTGCCCAACACTGCCAGCCTGGCACGCTTCTGCCAAAAGCTGAACCGGTTAAAGCCACTGGAAGAGTCCAGCATGGAGACATCTCTGCGGCGCTGCTTATCTACACTGGACCTGACTCTACTGGGGGTGGGTGGCATGGTGGGATCAGGTCTCTATGTGCTCACAGGCACTGTGGCCAAAGATATGGCTGGCCCTGCCGTTCTCTTGTCCTTTGTTGTGGCTGCTGTGGCCTCTCTGCTGGCAGCCCTGTGCTATGCAGAATTCGGAGCTCGTGTACCCCGCACTGGCTCCGCATACCTGTTCACCTATGTGTCCATGGGTGAAGTGTGGGCTTTTCTCATAGGCTGGAATGTGCTTCTGGAATACCTCATTGGAGGTGCAGCTGTGGCCCGTGCCTGGAGCGGCTATCTGGATGCCATCTTCAGCCATACTATTCGCAACTTCACTGAGTCTCAAGTGGGTGTATGGCAGGTGCCCTTCCTGGCCCACTACCCAGATTTCCTGGCTGCTGGCATCTTATTGGTGGCTTCTGCCTTTGTCTCCTGTGGAGCCCGAGTCTCCTCCTGGCTCAACCACACCTTCTCAGCCATCAGCTTGATTGTCATCCTCTTTATCATTATCCTGGGTTTCATCCTGGCTCGTCCCCACAACTGGAGCTCTGAGGAGGGTGGCTTTGCACCCTTTGGCTTCTCTGGCGTTATGGCAGGTACAGCCACCTGCTTCTATGCCTTCGTGGGATTCGACGTCATTGCTGCCTCCAGTGAGGAGGCCAAGAACCCACGGCGGGCTGTGCCCATGGCCATTGCCATCTCCCTTGGCCTGGCAGCTGGTGCCTATATCCTCGTCTCCACCGTGCTAACCCTCATGGTACCCTGGCACAGTCTGGATCCTGACTCAGCTCTTGCTGATGCCTTCTACAGGCGGGGCTACAGCTGGGCTGGCTTCATCGTGGCAGCTGGCTCCATCTGCGGTAAGGGACCTTTCTGAGCAGGGTGGAAGGGAACAGAGCAATGGGGCCCTGTCCCAAGCCTCTCAGAAATACCTCCATATAGGCTTCATCTTTATCAGTTGTATAATGGGCCCAGGAAAATACTAATTATTAGAGGCTCTCCACCATGCTTATTGGGGAGCCCCCTCTCCACAAATCATACATAGACTATCAGTTCTGGGACTGTGTTTACAGGTCCTTTCTAGACAGTGGGATTCAGCCCTCATTAGATTCTGTAATGGACTGTGACCTAAACTGGAATGCCCTATTCCTGGGAGGGAGGGTGACAGTCCAGCACCCCTGCAGACTCATACTCACTCTCTGAGAGCCCGAACTCATGCCTATGTCTCCAAGGGGCCATCCATGCCCAACCCCCCAGCGGCAGCCACTGATGGGCTTGTGTGCCCATGCTGACCACTCCCTTACCCTCTGCTGCAGCCATGAACACCGTCCTGCTCAGCAATCTCTTCTCCCTGCCACGCATCGTCTATGCCATGGCTGCTGATGGGCTCTTCTTCCAGATTTTTGCCCGTGTTCATCCCCAGACACAGGTGCCGGTGGTGGGCATCCTGGTGTTTGGTGTCCTCATGGCTTTCCTGGCACTGCTGTTGGACCTTGAGGCACTGGTCCAGTTTCTGTCCATTGGTACCCTCTTGGCCTATACCTTTGTGGCTGCCAGCATCATTATACTGCGCTTCCAGAAGGCCTCTCTGCCCAGCTCCCCTGGCCCGGCCAGCCCTGTTCCCACAACTAAGAAATACCAGTCCTTCTCCGACCACATACAGCTAGTGGGTGCTGATCAACCTTCCATCCCTGAACCTGGACAACTGCGGCCGGCCCTGAGGCCCTACCTGGGTTTCCTGGGTGGGTGCAGCCCTGGAGCTGCTGTGACATGGGCGCTTGGGATCCTGGTGGCCTCAACCATCATCCTGGGCTGCGTGCTGGTCTTCGGGGACTCAGCCCTTCACCTCCCACGGTGGACCTACACCCTGCTGCTTGTGATCAGTGGTGTCATGTTTCTGCTCAGCCTGCTTGTCCTGGGGGCTCACCAGCAACAGCAGCAGCGAGACACCTTCCAGGTACCTCCCCAAGCCAATGTCTGCTCACTCAGTCCAACTGGCTCCCTTTGTCCTGCCTCTTTGCCATCCCAGAATGAACCAGAGTTCATGGGGCTAGGGATACCAATTCATCCACTCCTACCCCCTCTGTCTTTCTGCATGGTAAGGGTACAGTGTCTCACACGCTTTGGAGATAGAGAGAGGATGGACAGAATTTCTGTAAGGTCAGGCAACTCCCCTGAAGCCCAAATCACATTATCTTTGCACTCTCAGATCCCCTTGGTGCCCCTGACACCAGCCCTCAGCATCCTCCTCAACATCTGCCTCATGCTGAAGCTGAGCTACCTGACCTGGCTGCGCTTTGCCATCTGGCTGCTGATTGGTAAGTGGAATCGGGCTGGGACCCTCAGAGTACTGCAGAGGGAGGACAAAGAGGGCAGGCAAGGCTGGGACCTTGCCCTCAGCCTCATGCCACCCCTACAGGACTAGCTGTGTATTTCGGCTACGGCATCTGGCACAGCAAGGAGAACCAAAGGGACCCACCGGAGCTCTCCACCACACGCTATGTGGTGTTCTCCAGCGGTGGCCTGGAGGAGACCGTGCAGGCTGTACAGCCCCCCTGTCAGACACCAGCCCAGGAGCCTGGCTACATGGAATAGTTGGCTGGTCTGTGAAGGAGGCTCATTATTTCCCTGTCTCATCCATCTCCTTGAGAGGCCAGAAGGCTTGGAGTCATGTCTGTCCAGGGCAACTTGGGTTTTCTGGCCTGCCCAAGCAGAAGTGAGGTTGTTCTCAGGACTGTAGGACCCTACCTAACCCAGGTACTGAGCCGCCAGTCTTCAGAGATGAGCCTCGGCCAGCCCTGGTGTGGTGGACTCTTTGTCCAGTGCCTTCCTGTTTGTGACTCACTCCAGCTACCTGGGCAGATGGGTAAAGTGGGCAGGGAAGAGGCTCGAACCCCAGGGATCCATAATAATAACTGCTCGGCTAGCCATTTGACCAGCCATCATGTACACTGTGGCATTCTTTGTTACACTGAGTTCTCACCTGCCCCCTGGAACAGGGCAGTTGTCCCCAATCCACAGCAAATATGCAGCATCTCTGCAAAGATAGCTCTGGGACAGGGAAATAGCCAGGCCTGGGACCAGGGGTCCTCCTCAGTCCAGTGCCCTCTACACAGCTCAGAGGGTAGCTGCACATGCCAGGTAAGAAGGAGCCCATGACAGGAGTTGGGGCAGGTTCCCCATAAGTCCTCTGGGGGTAGATTTAGGGAGTAGTGCCTGGGCCCAAAGCATGTCACCCCACTGCCAGGAAAGCTTTACTACAGTAGTGACATCAGCTGTCTATGGATCCTGGGGACAATCAGGTACATGTGACCTACTTCCAGTCATCAGGAAGTAGGTCTTCTTCCATGCCTTCTCACTCTATAGCCCTTCAGAGCCCACCTCTCCGTGGACACCACTGTCCTGAGTGTTGAAAGGCAGCAGGGACCCCAAAGACTTCACTAAGGCTCCAGATGCAAGATGATTTTAGATGGGTTCTCTTGGTTTTCCAGGGCTACCAGAGACCAGGGCATTTGCCGAAGGCCTGCCTATAGATATCAAAGCACGCCTACACACAGACACGTGCCCACGTGCATGTATGCCTGTTTGGCATACATGGCTCACACAGCTAACCCAGGGTGACTGACGTGACAGCTATTTGTGAATGCAGGCCCAATCATAGCTTACTCTCTTGCTGTTTCTCTCTGTCCACTCTGCCAGGATTTTAAGATAAAGCCCTTGGGGTCCCTGCTGCCTCTTGATCTTCAGGGTGGTAGTGTCCATGGGGAAGTGGACTCCAGTGGGTCACATTAGCAACTATACATGGTTGTGCAAGGTACCCTGGTGCCTGGGCTTGCCCCGCTAACTTCCAGCCCACTTGGCTCTGGGGCCCCAGTCAAAGGAAGAGAGAGTTCCAAGAAAAACCTTAGGCCCATGCTCTACCCACACACACACTGTGAGGTCCCCATGACTGGGCTATGTCCACTGTAGTCACCTCCCCCTTCCATCCCTCCCTGTAAGGACATCCCTGGAAGCTGCTGACTTTCAAAAGCTTTACTCCAGTAGTGACATCAGCTTTCTGTGGATCCTGGGAACGATCAGGTACATGTGACCCACTTCCAACCACCAGGACTGTGGTCCATGCCTTCTCACTCTAGCCCTTCAGAGCCCACCTCTCCATGGACATCACTGCCGGGTGTTGAGAGGCATCAAGGACCCCAAAGACTTTACTACAGCTCTGGATGCAAGATTATTTTAGATGGTCGGCCAGCTTCAGCCCCAGCACACCCCTGATGATCAGGCACCCATATGAAAGCAGCCCCGTACCTCTCTAGGAGGTGGTATTCCCAAATCCCTATCCTAGCCTGGGACCAAGGGGGAAGGGGACTTGCCTCCTACAGCCCTGTCCCTCCCATCTTGACCATTGACCCCAGACATAAGAAAAGTCTCCATTAGTCAGGACTCAGGACCTTGCAGGAGGATTCCAGAGCCAGAGCCTACAAGAAGTAGCAAGTGTTCATAGGCTGAACAGCTGGAGAGAGCGCTTGGTGCTCTCCACCTCCCTGGTTCATGTGTCTGTACATGTCTCTAAGCTAAACTGGCTTCTGCGTTCCCCCCACCAGATAGCACCCTGGCAAGACTGGACCCAAAAAGGACAGTCTGCCTGGGAACCCAAGGGTGAAGTTCTCCCCCTGTCCCCTCTCCAGTCCTGCTGGGCTTCATCCTTGAGTTTCCCAGGTCAGGACTCTCACCCTTCCTACGCCACAGCAGGAATGACTACAGTCCTCAGGGACAAGCAGGCAAGTGGGTGTCAGAACACAGACAGGGCCACTTTGCATTGGTGTCAGGATGCCAGCAGTAGCGGATGTGGGGGCAGGCGCTGACACAAAGATAGTTGGGAATCCTGGCTCGTGGGTGTCAAAGCTGGTTTGGTTTGGTCCATGCAGGGTTGCTGGTCGTCTTTGGGGCTTTTGCCTACAAAGAACAGATCAGAGATCTGGTCAGTGTCCCTAAACTGTGGCAGAACCCAGTGTCCAGGCACAGAGGACTCAGCTCTGGAACCCAGGCAGGCCCACAACTCACTTCCTCATACTTTGTCCTCCAGTAGAAATGGGCTTCTCTATCCACATACAGCAGCAGCAGGTCACAGAGGAAGGTGACCTGAGAAAGGCCGGGCCACCCATGTCCTCAATCTGAGTCACAACATGCAGGCCCAGGGGACTCTGGCAGACCCAGGCAGACACTTGCTGCTGCCAGGCCAAACCCCAAATGATCGACTCACCACACCCAGCCAGGCTGCGCCAGTGCCCACTGTGATGGCTGTAGGTATGAGCCCGAACTTCCCTGCCTGGGAGAGGCCTGGTTTGAGCTTATCAGGCCATGACTGCCTTCCAAGCCTCATCCAGGCATATCTGTCTGCACCCGTCCCTTGGTCTGACCCTTACCTGCCCAGTAACGAGGATATCGAAGCGGATTCCATACAGCTTGAGCAGGCTGCGTGTCTCCACACCTGAGGCCTCCCACCAGTGACTGGCTGTCCTAGGGGCAGGAGAGAGGACTCTGGTGGCCATTCCTAGGCTGGGCTGCTTTTACTGGGCCTCAACCTTACTTATCCATTGACTCCATAACCCACTCCCAGTCCAAGCCTGAGTCTTGGGTCTTAACCCTACATAGCTGCTAAAGGACATAAGGAAAAAGCAATCCAGAACCTGATGCGAGGAAGCGCCCTGCCTGTTGGAAAGACAGGTGCATAGAAGATCCCTAAATAGACACCAGCACAGGAAGATGGGAGGAGGAAGGTAGGGTGGAGTTGGGGGCAGGCCCAGAGAGGTTGGAGCCCTGAGGCAGGAATTCACTCTTTCCCTATTCATCACAAGAAGGTGATGAGAGTGCCTTCTCAAGTTGGTTTTTGAAGGCCTGGGGAGGAAAACCCAGGCAAAAAACAATAAGGCCCTGGAGCCCAAAGGTGGGAGGAGCAGGGTAGCCAGGAGTCAGCCCCACAAGGCATCAAAGGGCTAAGGGAGGTCAGGTAACTCAGACCAGGAAGGACACAAAGAGCTATGTCAAGTGGCATCATCCTGTGTGTGGCATGTTCCTGTGTATGGGTGACGAGGTGACACAAGTGGCAGAGAGATCCCAAAGGGTTCTACTTCAGAGACTCAAAGATGTGACAATAAATGAAACTGAAGATCTTTGAGCGTATCTTGGGTTAGGAAACACAAAGATTTAGAACGACTTATTGGCACAGCTAGATCCATATAAACATTGGACTTAATCTGCTGGTGTCCCCAGTTCTGCCAAAAAAAAAAAGAAAAGAAAATCCAGTATCTGCCACTTACTTTCAAATAGTTCGGATTTATTTTATATTTTACAGCACTGGGGATGGGCCCCCCCACACCTCATGGATGCTAGGCAAGGGCTCTACCACTGAGCTGCACCCCTGCCCAGAAAAGTTCCATCTGAAATCTACCTAAACATACCAGGTCACTTTAGACAGGGAGAGAGAGAGCAAATGTGGCCAAATGTTAAAAAAAAAAAAAAAATTAGTGAACCCAGATGAGTGGTTCATGGTACTAATCTTTGAATTTTCTATAGATTTGTTAGGGAAGATTTTAGATAAAACTATAGAGAAAGCAAAAAGCCCCCTGTGCCATGGAGGAGAGACACTAGAAGTAGGGTGGGGTCGCACCAGGGTATGGAAGTGAGGAGTCTGCACTGAACAAGGAGTGGGGACAGATAGCATGAAAGCCAGAAGGAGCCTGAGCTGGAGGACAAGGGCTGAGAATACTCACTCCTGCCCCGGGGGGCCTCATTGCACACTTAGTGGAGGATGCAGAGAATTTGGCTAGATATGGTCTGTCCTGGTAGCCACCCAGGGGATGGGTGGAGGGAGAGGCTGGCCCAGGACAGTAAGCAGGTCCATACCTGAAGTTGTAGCCCCTCTCCTGCAGCTGGAAAGAGTAGTGGGGCCAGCAGTCAGAGCCCCCGTCATCCAGGTCACAATCCCAGTTGACACTGATGCCCACAGCGCCACCCTGCACACAGCACATCTCTGCTGCACTATTGGTTGGGTCTGAGACCCTCTTCCTGAGCTCTTCAGGAACCCTGCCTCAAGGACCTACCAGCAAGGCCAAATCATTGAAGTCTCCTCCAGCTGCAGTCACGAGGTCACCAATGCGGAATACGGGGCAGTAAGGATTCGAGTGTGGATCGTAGCGACAGTGCTTGAAATAGGTAGCATCCCAGGTGTCTAAGGCATTGGTCCTGGGATGAGAAGGGGGAGGGGTGGAGATCCAATGACCCAGAGTACATGGAGGATCTGGGGTGAGCCATAACCTGCCCATGCTTACTTGGAGAAATTGAACTTGCTGAAGGTGACAGTGTTTTTGATGAACAGTGTGAAGTTCGTGGCCTGAGCCAGCAGAGGCCTCCTGCAGGTAGAGTACACTGCCAAGATTTTGCCCACCCTGGGGCCCTGCTTGCCCTGGGAGTCAGAGGAGACTTACGTGGGTGCAGAACCACTCTCCACTGGGCACCAGCTCCGGATCTCACAAGTATTGTGGGTCGTGTTGAATACCACACACTGACCTGTTTTTATGCCTTGAAAACACAAAATGAACTCCAGGCCCTCAGATGTCCACAGGGCCTGAGGAGGATGTGGGAGGAGGTTGTTGGCAGGAGCAAAGGGAAGTAGGGACAAGTGCAGCAGGTCCAGCCCTTAGGAACCACCTAGGGCCCCCTCCCCACCTCCTGCCCTGGTGGAGGGGCTAGAAGACAGAGCTCACAGTTACCATGGCTATGTGTCCCCGTCTCCCCTTCAGGGCAGTCCTCGTCCGCCCAACAGTTAGCCAGTGGAACAGAGGGGTGCTAAAATAAAGGAGAGACCTCAGTCACCAACAGCCCAGTGGGGAGTGCCTCCCATCTGTGACTTGGCCCATGGATTACAAGGGCTCTCCCCTCTCCATGTACCTCCCAGGGTGTCCTGGAGGACTTGGAAGCACACAGGAAAGCCAGAGGGTGCGAATAAACAAAGGCTGTGGGGGTTGGAAAGACCAGAAGCCCCTGGTCGTGTGGGTACAGTACTGTATTCTAAGGGCAAGAGTGAAACCCCTTTCCTCCTGACAGCCCCGTGGTAGCAGAAGTGATTCACTGAGGTCTAGCTCCTGTGGTCCAATTCAGAGAAAAAAACAGGGAAGGTGAAGGGACCCTGACAAGGGTAAGTTCATGATGCTTACCGTGCTGGGGTGCAGGCAAAAAAGTGTGGCCAACAAAAAGTAGGACCCTAAAATCACAAGGGCCTGGGGAGGGAAGTAGGACCCCACACACTTGCTAGGGGACCATAGGCTAGTCCTTTCCCTGCTTGATCTTCTGGCAAACAGGGACATTCATACCTGTACTGGGTCAAAGAATTATGGAAGATAGCCAAGAGGAGAAGATGGGTGAGCTTTTGGGGGGCCCCAGAGAGGAAGGCAGCCTTGAGTTTCAGGAACTCTTACAGTGGGCTCAGTTCCCAGACCATGGGAGAAGACAGCACCAGGGAGCAAGAATGGCTGAGGGACTCTAAAAAGCCAGAGTAAGACTTTGTGATCAGTGGGCAGAGGACAGCGTGGAACTACCTGCTCTGCTTTGCTCTCCCCACCTGTGTCCCCCTCTCTCCACCTAACTGGGCTACCAATTCCTTCAACCAGACCCCATAGTGACCACTAATAGGACCTCTAATTTGCCTGGCAGCCCAAGTGGTCCAACCCAATGTATAAAAGATTGAGTGCTCCTCCCTGTGCTGATCCTGGCTCCCTTCTGCTCCTGTGATCAAGTGCAGGTCCTTAACAGGACTCATAGGGACCCTGGGATCTTGGGTTACCCTCTTTTCACCCCAGTCCAGATCTCTGCTCCAACCTCATGGAGAAGCTGGTAAGCCCAGAAGCACCTCACCTTACACAGCCGGGACCCTAGCCCATGCAAAGGCCTTAACCCTGCTCCTGCTAAAGTCACCCTGCTCCCCAACTTCTCCCCCTTAAAGATTCTGCTAGACTGGTATCCTTGGGCTCCCACCTAACCTTGGCCCTATCATGGGACCTGCCACTATGGCTGGGCTGCATTTGCTCCTTGAGTTACAGGGCATGGAGTTTTGTAAGCCTAGCACAGGGCCTAGCCTGGAGGGTGGAGGAGGTTGGATAAGGAGCACTGAGCATGTCCTAGAAGGGATCAGGTGATCAGGATCCCAAGAATAGTTGGTAGGAACTCTGGGTTTTCTCAGGAAGATGGTTGTCTGAGCTTATGCATTACTGCTCAGTCATGACAGCTTCATGGGAAAAGCCAGAGGAGTCACAGGGATTCCAGAAAATACAAGCTCCTGGCCCTAGCAAAATGTCAGAACAGTCTATAAACTGAACACTAAATAGACATTATCTAAGCATCTAAAAAGGGAGGGGACACCGTGTGTGTTGGCCAGGGGTAAGCACATCCTTTGTGCACTCCTTCGTGCCTCTCCTTCTTTCTGGATAGGGCCAACCATGGCTATGTGACATTCCCTGCAATTATAAAGGGACCACCAACCAGAGCCTAGGGGATAAACATCTGCAGTTATCTCCAAACCCAGAAAGTGATTAAATGTTGGGTTTGATCAAAAAAAGATATGACTATGTCACATGAAAATAGATGTCGCCATATAATGATCAGATCTGAACTGTTCAAACCAAATCAACAGTTGGAGAGGAGAAGCAGTGTGCTTTTTGACAAATGCTGGATTCCTGGAGACATTTCCAAGCAAGGGGGAAAGTGAGATTTTAGGAAGGAGAATCTGCATTTCTGGATGAGAAATGGCCGAGAATAGGGAGTGGGGGATCCAGGCTTGACCACAGTTGGAATGAGAAATACTCAGAGATCATGAACTCAGCCTACGCAAGAGTGTGTTAGTTTCCCACAAAAAAGACAATTAGAAAAGAAACTGCCTAGGGACAAATTAATAAAGGTTAGGCACAGATAAGGGGAGGAGATCTTCCAGTTTGCCTCTTGCTATGAGAGTCCACCTAAGCATATGTCCAGCTCTGGGCATTAGCAACTGAAGAGTACCCAGAGGCAGGACCAAGACAGGGAAGGGCCTGGGTACCTCAGAAGAACTGCTGCTACTCAGAGGTCTGGGTGCTGCCACCCCCAGGCTAGGTGACTCGACCTTGCTAAACCTCAGTGAAAATCACAGTAATTCCTACTGTGCAGGGTAGATGTGAAGATCTGCAGAAAAATTTAACCCAGTGCCTGGGATACACTAAGCCTTTAGCCACCCTGGAAGGACAAGGGAGACGTGGCTGGTGACCCAGGGCTGCTGGAAGAAGTAGGGACCCACCAGGAGACTCCAGGAAACCTTACCTCTGGGCATCTGCCCTGAACTTGTGCTGGCGTCACAAGGAAGTTGGTCACCAAGAAGAACACATTTTCTCCCTAGGAGACAAGTCTCAGGTTGATCCCTGCATGGCTTCCTCAACTGGAGAGGCCTGAAGCTGACAGCCTAGTTTGTTTGTTTGTTTATTGGCAGTACTGGTGATCGAACTCAGGGCTTCACACTTAGTAGGCAAGCACTCTATCTCTTGAGCCATGTCTCTAGTCCTTTGGCTTTTAGTTTGCTTTTCAGGTAGGTCTCCCACTTTTGCCCAGGTGACCTTGGACAGTGATCTTCTCACCTCTGCCTCCTGACTAGCTTGGATTACGGGCATGTACCACCATGCCTGCCTTGTTTTTTGTTTGTTTGTTTGGCTGGTTTTATTTGTTTTTGCAGCAAAGGGATAGAACCTAGGGTCCCTCATCCATACTAGGCTAGTGCTGTACCACTGAGCTACATCCCTGGCCCTGGCAAACTGGTTTTTGAGGGAAAGTTCTTGGCCTCATCTAGTCACCAAATTCCTCCCTCAGGAAGACACCTCCAGTGAGAGAGGTGAAAGTAGCAATAGGAGGCTGCCTGGGTTTCTGGCCTTTTCTGATCCCAGGGAGCCTCATGTCTATGTTCATCTCTTTGACACAAGTTCATTTCTCATAATAACTTGCATTCACTCAATCCTTCTGGGCACTGTCGTTAAAGAGGTAAGTTGAAGGGACCAGGAGTGGTTGTTAATGCCTATAATCCCAGCTATTTGGGAGGCAGAGATAAAATGATCTCGGTCTGAGGCTGGCCTAGGCAAAAGGTAGCTATCTGACCAGGTGCTGGTGGCTCATGCCTATAATTCTAGCTATTCAGGAGGTAGAGATCAAGGTTCAAATAGCTCGAGAGACCCTATCTCAAACATAACAACATAAAAAGGACTGGTTGCCTAGCAAGCATGAGGCCCTGAGTTCAAACCCCAGTACTGTCAAAAAAAAAAAAAAGGTGAGTTGAGGGAAGGGGATCTCTTACCACATCCATAGCCAGCCACTCTGGCTGGAGGGGCTGGGGGTCAGTTCCACCTGGGATCAAAGAACGGCCAACAGTGATCAGAAGTGGTGATCGTGAGAACAACTGTGCTTTTGGGGAAGGAAAGGCAAGGGCTGGGCCGAGGGTAGTGGAGTCTGGTGGCAGTTAAGATATGGAGGAACTTGGTGGCTACCAACATGGGAAAGGAGCCTTCCTAGGGCAGAGAGCAGGAACTGGCAGGCTCCAATGACGCCAAGTGTAGAAACTGTGCACCTGGGGGAAGGGAGTAGAAGAGGGAGAGTCTAAGGGCCCACTAGTTGATCACAGCCTCATCCAGACACAGCAGGGCCTGCAGGGAAAAACATTGGGAAGGACAGAAAGGGATCAAGGCTGAGTCCTGAAACTGGTTTCAGTGCTGATGATGTCACAGCTCTCACTGGATGAAGAGAAGTCAGGATGGCAGGAAGGGGAAATGATTCATCTTTGGACATGGTGGGTGTGCACTCAGGAAGCAGCGTCTCTCCAAGCAGGTGGTCACTGGTGTTACAATTTGGGCATCAGTACAGCAGAGGTAGAAATTGAGACTGTGGACTAGCTGAGTGAAAGGAGAAGGAAAATGTAGCCTGAGAGGGCAGAGAAGCACCTGACAGTGACGCCCTAAGTGCGGAGGAGGGACTTTAGGACGCTCAGGCCCTGGACCCTTACTCCCCAACCACCCCATCCTGAAGCTCCAGCTCTGAGTCCCAGATACGCTGATCCTTTCCAGATAAGGCTTTTTTGTGGTACTGGGATTTGAACTCAGGGCTTCACACTTGCTATGAAGGCACTCTACTACTTGAGCCATGCCTCCAGCCATTTTTACTCTGGTTCTTTTTGAGATAGGGTCTCACTTTTTGCCCAGGCAGGCCTGGACCTCAGTCCTCCTATTTTATGCTTCCTGCCATAGCTGGGATGACAGGTGTGAACCACCATGCCCAGTTATTGGTTGAGATGGGGTCTGCTGAACTTTTTGCCTGGGCTGACCTCCAGTTGTGATCCTCCCTATGTCAGCCTCCCAAGTAGCTAGAATTACAGCCATGAGTCACTAAGCTCCCAGCTCAGATATGGCTGCCAGGCACGGTGGTACATGCTTATAACCCCAGCACTTGGAGGCTGAGGCAGGAGTATAGAGTTGGAGGCCAGAAGGGTTCAGAACAAGTTCAAGGCCAGCCTGGGCTATGTAGGAAGACCCTGCCACAAAACTTAAATAAATAAATAAATTTCCTCTGGTCTGGTTTCCTGACCTGTCCTTTCATCTATCTGGAAACCTCCTCATGTCCCTGAAAGCCCTGATTGGGCACTGCTCCTCTGTAAGGTCTTTCTTAAACATCCCCAGATACCCTCTGGTGTCACCTGCACACCTCTTTTGTACACACACTTGCTGCAAGGCTGCTGTCTAATTTGTCATCAGTAAAGGACTCCTGCCCCCTGTGGCAGCCCCAGTGACCTACCTGTGGGGGCTTCACAAAGTCAGCCACATCCCAAAGCCGGTTCTCAAGCTCCTTGATTCGAGTCACAGAAACCCCTTTGAGTTTAGTGATGACAGAAATCTGGGGGTCCAAGTCTCGTTCCTGATAGCCTTTTTTGGCAATGAGGGCCCACCTGGGGAGGAGATGAGGGACAGTGTGATGTGACCCTGGCCCAAGGTGAGCAGTGACAGGGCTGGACCCTACAAACTCTTGGCTCCCCCCACCGCCACCACATACCCTATAGATTTTGGGCTTGCATTAGCATGGAGACCTTTTCCTGCTCCTCACCTCACCTCTCACTCCAGACCCCTGAACAGGCCAGAAGCTCCGGCCTCACATCGGAGAGCCAGTGTCCTCAACAACCACAACAACTTTCATCAGCCAATGTCCCCACCCCCACCAGCTAGACTCAGTTCGCTCCTTAAAGACCACTCGGACCCTCAGCTAGAGCAAGTGGTCTCTTGGGGCACCAAGGGTGGGGAGGTCATTGCTCCCGCTCACACGAATGTCAAGGATTACTGCCTCCTGCCTCACCAGGGACCCTTCTGGGAGAAGTGGGGACAGATCCCACTGGGGTTAGGGACAAAGCCCAGGAAAGAAGGCAGATAGGCATGCAGGAGTACAGCATACAGCTTGCTCTTGCTTCCCAAGGGTCTCTGAATGGACAAAGACCCCATCCTTCTGCCAACCCCCCACCTTTTCCCAACCTGCCACCCCCTCACACACACACACACCAGCCCAGCACCTGAAGACCCTAACTGTCAACCCTCAGCCCCCCAAAACCAACCACGATCCTTTTAGTCAGCCTGGCCACAAGCTGTTCCTTCTTACCCCACCACATAGGCCACCACTCCAAGCTGCAGCAGCCTCTGCAAGACGCCCACCCGCCAATTCCTGGTCATCACATACTTCTCAGTCTTGTAATCCAGAAGCCCCCAGCCTGCTGCTGCCCCTGGGGAGCCCATGCTCCCAGCTCCTGCAGGCTGCTGGCGCATGAGTCAGCGCTGCAGCTGCAGCCACTGCTGAAAGGGAGGGCAGAGCTGGTGCCCAAATGGGCTCTGTTGTTAAAGGGACATCTCCTTCCACTTAAGGCACGATCCAGCTCTGGGCTCAGTCCCAAGCCCCAGCTGTCCTGGATCTTGTGTCCTCTCTAGAATTCCTCTGCCAGACCCTGGGCACACAGAGAGAAGTCCAGTCCCTGACCTCTGGCTTCACATCCTTGTGGGGTGGGGAATGACAGGTGTTGTAAGTGCTGTGAGAGGTTGGCCTGAGGCAAGGAAATTTCAGGCCTGTGAGCTAATGCTTGCAGATTCTGAAATGCAGTAAGGGAAGTTGGGGAGGGGTATTCCTGATTGCGGAAGCATCACAACAAAAGCCAGAGCTTTCACTCTGAAAGCTCCAAAGTGAAAGCATGGCTCTGACTCCAGAGAGGAGGATGATCTGGGTGGACAGGTTCCCCAGGCCCTCCCGTGGAAACTACTCTCACCCACAAGTGCAGTCCCTAAAGCTCAAACTGTGGTGTCCGGCGTGTTTCCCAGTGAAAGAAGCGCAATGCTAGAACCTCACAGGGCGACAGGAACTAAAAACGCCCCATAAGGCCCCAGCCTTATGCATGCCCAGTGGCGGCCCTGGCGAGGAGTGGGCTCCAGGTCTGCGCAGGCCCGCCGCTGTTTCTGAGGCTACCGGCAACAACAGGTTGCCCGGACGACCGCTGCGGAAGACAGAGCATCTATTGGCTGCGGCGAATGCCTGTTGTCTGAGACACACATTCGATTGGTCAATAGGGCCGGAGAGCCCGCCCACATCCCCGGGCAGCATTCTAGGGTCCACGCCGCACTCTTCCGGCCTCAGTTCAGGCGACTGCGAAAGGGGACTAGCCATGTGGGGTCACGGCAAGAGGTCTGGGAAGAATGAAGAGCAAGAAGAAGAGGCGACCACGGCCGCTGGGCATCTTGCCAGAGTCCCGGAGGCCGAGAAGGGTTTGAATGCAGATTCGGACTCCGACCTGGAGACGGAAGGTGCCCTCGGGCAGCGGGTAACCGGGGCAGCAGGCTTGACTCTCACCTTGAAGGCTTCTCCAGCATAGGTTCAGGGAGATGAGCCCGGGCTGAATGAGACTTCGTCAGCGGGTGGGCCTTTGAGCCTGGTGCGCTCTTGTCTTGGTGGCACCAGGAGTTCCACCAGTAAGAATTTGCTTCCAGAACGATGTGTAAATGTACAATCTTGCCAGATAGTGGTGCCCCACTCTGAAATGGGTTCAGAGTTGGGTTTTTCCAGCTCACAGGAAAAACTAAGCTAATGGGTGTCTAGGATTTAAAATTGTTTCAGTTCCCCCTCCCCCATAAAATGTTCATAAAACATTGTGATCTGTAATACATGGGATGGGGAGAGAAGAGCAACGTGCACTTTTACATCAGGCAGTGGCCTAATTCTGGCTCTGATTGTGACTCTGGGAAAAGGGTTTGCTTTCACTGAGGCTTGATCGTAAGCAGTAGTCCCATTAGCACAGAACTGCCTTTACAGGGGAAACAGGCCAGGTGGCTAGGGAGGGCAGGGGAGGCTGGCACAGCCAGCAGAAGGGTCTACATTTGTCCCTGTGTCTCCTACTTTAGGTATCCATGGGCTCAGAGAAATGGTCAGTGAGACTCTCTGCCGGAGGTCTTACCAGGCTTATAGTGTTGCGCCCATCTCCTGCTTTCTGCGCCAAGGGAGTGCCCCGGAATTAAACCTGCGACATCGTGGCCTGGGGCCCCAGGTAACTGTGCAGGGACACTGGAACCAAGTTTGAAGAGGAAGGACCCATGGCCATGTCTTTCCTTGAGTCTATCCCTCATATTCTCTGCTGTTCTTTGGGCCAGGCATAGGAGACAGGATAGAGGCTTGTGACAGAGATCAGCTAAGGACTGAGTAGCCTGCAGGTTCCTACCTGCAGGAGGGTCAGGGAAGGCCCCAGGAGGTGAGAACTGGGTGGTACCTAGAAGGAGAAGCATGTATCCCCTGGGAATGTGGGAACGGGAAGGATTTCCAGCTGGAGGGCACCAAGTGGATTGAGCCATGGGAACATGAGCCTGTGGCCTTCAGTCCTGGGAAGGACCTGACCCCTCAGGCCCCTCTGCTCTGTCCCAGGGGGTCCAGGCTCTGGCTTCCATGTTGACCGTCAATCCCTACATCAAGCGTCTGGATCTTCAGGATAATGTACTCTGTGGGGCTGGTGCAGAGGTCCTGGCAGATGTCCTAAGCAAAAATAGCAGCATCTGTGGTAGGTGCTGAGCCTGGGGCATTGGGTGGGCTTGAGTCCTTCTTTTTCCCAGAAGGTATCCCCCAAGCCAGGCTTTCCCACTTGAAGCCTGCTGGTGTTGCTGGGGGTGGTGGAGGCCCTTGATCACAGGGGTGAATTTGACCCTCTGAAGGTTCAGCCAATGGTGAGCCAATGCTGGAGGCTACTCCTTTCCTGAGTTGTCCCACCCTACTCTCTCCCCTCCTTTACTGACAGCACCTCCCCACTCCCATAGTAGACACCCAGTGACTGAATGGAGGGTAGAAGAGTCCCTTGACATAGAGGCAGGGGCTGGACAGCTCAGGATGGGAAAGGCAAGGTGGGAGTTTGATGAGGCTGGATCCAAAGTCCAGCTCTGCCACCAAAGAGCAAGTGACGGACCTGGGCAAGCGGTGCAACCTGCAGAGCCGGTTTCCAATCTCTGAATTGGCCCCATAGCACCATTTGGTTCTTGGGGCTGTGGCTAGCAAAAAGAAGTATTCCACAGAGTATCTGTCCATGTAAGTGCTACATAAATGACCACATAGGCTAGTATTGCCAGTCCCCGATAATGGAGCAGAGAGGGCTTCTGTGGGTAGGTTATACTGTTTCCAGACACATCTTCATCACGGGGGCTGCCTTTCTACCATAGCACTGTCCATAGCATCACAAGGTAGGTGGTTTTAACCCTTTAACAGAGAAGCTCACAGACATGCAGGGACAGTGAAGTCAGAGACACAGGGGACCCAGCCAATGGGTGGTTGCCACCCATTGCTACCCTAGAACAATCCACCTGCAAAGCCTCTTCCTGTGCCTTGGGCCTGGAGGTTTGTGGGCTGGAGGAAAGCAGAGGAAAGTGGTGCTTGACTTTGCATGACACTGACTGAGCAGTCGTGCTGGCCCCCAGATGTGAACCTGTCAGAGAACCAGCTTGGAGCCACAGGAGTCCAGGCCCTCTGTGCTGCCCTCGCAGTGAATAAAACCATACAGAAGATGCAGCTGGCAGGGAATGGCCTGGAGGAACGGGCAGCACAGCACCTTGCGGACTTCCTGCTGGTCCACACAGGCCTGAAATCCCTGGACCTCAGTTATAACCAGCTGAATGACGTAGCAGGTAATACCTGGCCTGAGCGACTATGGGACATGAGTTCATCATTCTCTGGTGGCAGCAAGGGAGGAGACTGGCGGGACCATAGTCAGTATCTTCCAGAGAATATCCTTGCTGGGTTTCTGCTCTTCACACCTGCTTTGTCCATTCTCTGCCATTCTAGTCACACAGAATTTTTTTTTGGCAGCACTGGAGTTTGAAGTCAGAGACTCATGCTAGGCAATGTGCTCTACCACTTGAGCTGCTCCACTAGACCCCAAATTCTTAATTTGTTCCAGGACTATCTCATTGCCCACTGCAGTATGTGTTGGGTACTGATTTAGCTGCTAGGGATATAGCTGTGAACAACATAAGGTCCCTGACTTCAAGAAATACATGCTCTAGGCCAGGCGTGGTGGCTCCCACCTGTAATCCCAGGTATTCAGGAAGCATAGGTAGGAGGATCAAAGTCTGAAGCTGGTCCCTGGCCTGCCTGGGCAAAAAGTGAGACCCTATCTCAAAATATAAGCAGAGGAATAAAGGTTTGGAGGTGTGGCTCAAGTGGTAAAGCACCTGCCTAGCAAATGAAAAGCCCTGAGTTCAAACCCCAAAATCGCCCCCCAAAAAAAATAATGATAAAAAAGTAAGACTGTGAAAAATAACTATAGGAGAAAAGGCTAGGGGCGTAGCTTAAGTGGTACAGTGTTTACCTAGGAAGTGAGAGGCCCTGAGTTCAAACCCCAGCACCACCAAAATAAAAAAGAAAAGAAACACAGATTAAGATAGTTTTCTCTGGGCACCAGTGACTGATGCCTATAATCCTAGCTACTCAGTAGGCAGAGATCAAGAGGATCACAGCTCAAAGCCAGTGATTTTTTGAGTTTTTGAGACCCTATCTTGAAAATACCCAACCCAAAACAGGGCTGGTGGAGTGGCTCAGGTGGTAAAACACCTGCCTAGCAACCATGAAGCCCTGAGTTCAAGCCCTAGTACTGAAAAAAAAATTAGCTTTCAGTAATTTTTGAAGCTCCAAAGGAAATGGTGTGGTTGTTGTAGAAAAGAATGAGGACCCCTGCAACACCAAAGGGAGCGCATTGCAAACCAAGAATAGTGACCGTATAGTTTCTTAGACTGATAGACACCAGCATGACTATAATTCAGGGAAGAATGACTAGGTTATGGTGTGAAGAGGAAAGAGGAGGTTACATGGCTGCAGGTCATGGCAAAAGATGTGAAGATTTTATTCCAAGCGCTGTGAAAGACATGAGTGGGATTCCTTGAGTCCATAACTTTCTTTCATGCCCCAGGGCCTTTGCATGGGCTGTCTGCTTTGCCAGGAATGTGATCTTGCACCGATCTCTGTCCCCAAATACTCTAGTCAATTATAAGATGTCACATCCCTGTCAGGAATCTGAGGCAAAAGGATCATCTGAGCCCAGGTGAGCTATGCCCCTAATCCATTTTGGTTTTCTTTTTGCTTGTTTTCCAGATAAGGTCTTACTAACTTTGCTTGGGTTTTCCTCAGACTTCTGATCCTCCTGTTTCTGCCTCCCATGTAGCTGGGATTACAGGCAGGTGTCATCATACTTGACTTTTTTTTTAAGAGGAAAGATTTGTTTTGGTTCATGGTTTCAGAGTTTCAGTTCATGGACTTCTAGGCCTGTGGCAAGGAAGAAAAATAACAGGAGGGGCTTAGAGGAGGAAAGCTATTCACCTCATGGCAGCAAGAGAGGAAGGAAAGTGACCCTGGAGGAGAAAGGGAAGGAAGAGGAGAAGGAGGAGGAGGAGAAAAGATTTATTTAGCTCACAATTTTTGAGGTTTGTCTATGATGGAGTGACCTCTTTGCTTTGGACCTGGGGCAAGGCTGCACATCATGGTTGGAACAACCATGGAAGCAAAAGCATTCAACTCATGATCAGGAAGCAAAGAGAAGAGGAAGAGACCAGAGTCTCACTATCCTCTTCAAGGTCTAAAGACCTCCCACTAGACCCCAGCTGCTAAAGGCGTCATGCTTCCCAGTAGCGCCACCCTGTGGACCAAGCCTTTAACACATGAGCCTTTTGGAAGACACAAGATAAAAGCTGTACCACAGAGGCAGCTGGAATGAAGAGGCTGGAAGCTAAGGCCCTGCAAAGATGGCATAAACACTTAAGTGTGTATACAAGGGAGGTGGGGTGGAACCTGGGAAAGACAGAGTCAGCTATGCCATTTTGTTTCTCCAAGTGGGGACCTGAAGGTGTGCCTGACTCCTTTGAGGGGTGAAAAAGCTTAGGTCTGGATTCCCCACCCAATCCATGGCAATGATAGCACCTGTCTCGTAGGACGGCTGCAAGAATTGGGAAAACCTGGCATTGGGAACTTAAGGCATGTAGAAGAAAGAGTCTTCTCACCCTCTAGTTATTCAGCAAAGAAGGGGCTGCCTCACAAAGTGGAGGCCCACTGCCCGCCCCTCCCAGCCCTAGAAGGGTCTGAGGAAGGAGGAAGTGCTCATATCCAAGAACCTGGGGGTATCAGATCCAGCGCTGGGTGCTGAGTCCAGGTCTTAAAGGAGCAGTGCCAAGAAGCTTCCCTGCTGCACAGGGAGCTCTCCAAGGTGCTAAAAGTGTCTGCCACTGGGCAAACTGCTAGCGGAGCAGTGTTTCCCTTCGGTTTTTTTCCTCTGTGCATTTCTTCAAACCAGCCTTACTAGACCTGTGCTAGGTGCTGGGATACTGAAGAGAGATCAAATTCCAATCCTCGCTGGGCGAGCTACTCAGGAGGCAGAGATCAGGAGGATTGGGGTTCGAAGCTAGCCTGGGCAAATAGTTCACGAGACCCTATCTCGAAAAAACCCAACACAAAAAAGGGCTGGTGGAGTGGCTCAAGGTGTAGGCCTTGAGTTCAAGACCCAGTACCACAAAAAAAAAAAAAAAAACCCAGACCTCAAGGGACTCCTAAACTGGAAGCAGAGAACAGCCAGGCAGAGAGATTTGTTTTTATTTATTTTTTGTGGTGCTAGGGATTGAATATGACAAGCAAGCAAGCACTCTATCATTTAACACCTTTTTTGTTTGTTCTGTTTCTTATTTTTGAGACAAGGTCTCACCTCTATCTTTTCCTAGGCTGGCCTCAAACTCCTGACCCTTCTGCCTCCAACTCCTGAGTGGAGTAGCTGGGATTACAGGCATGGACCACCATACCCAGCTTAGTTTTGGCTTCTTTTTGAGACAGGGTCTCACTGTGTATCCCAGGCTGGCCTGGAACTTGAGATCTTCATGTCTCTGCCTCCTGAGCGCTTGGATTACAGGTGTGTACCATCACTCCTGGCTAGAAAATTTTTTGGGTTCTGTTTCCTTGTGGTGCTGGGGATCAAACCCAGGGCCTTGTCCAAGCTAGGAATGTGTTCCACCACTGAGCTACATCCCCAGACCCAGAGAGAGATCTAATGACTAAAGCCTGGAAAGATGGAAGACATGAGTTCTGAGGGGGCCCAACTCAGCCTGACAGGGCAGGTAAGATTTCCTGAATTTGTGAACCCAGGATAGAAGAATGAGAAACCTTAGATAAGTAAATAAGAAAAATGGGGACCAGCAGGGAGGCATGCCAGTGCTAGAGCCCTGGAGAACTGGGAACAGGTCAGATGGGCCAAGTGCTAATAGAACGGAGAGCTGGCTGGGCATGGAGCTCTGCCCACTTAACATGCCAAATATCTCTCAGGGTTTCTCTCTCCACATTGCTCCCCTCCTTTCTCTACCAACCCGGCCCCATCTCCATCATAGCTGTGCCAGACTCGTCACCTCTTTACCTAAACTATAGCACGAGCCTTCTAATGAGTCACTCAGCCTGCCTCTGCTGATGCTCACCAGCCAATAAGAATTTTGCTGAAGTGCTAATCCAGCCTTGTGACTTCTTAAAGCCCTTCCCTGACCCTTCAGCCACCATGATCCTCCTGATCTGTGCCTTCTGAAGAGCTATGATTATAGGTGTGAGCCACCAGCACCTGGCTTGAACTTTGGATCTTTTAAGCAGAGATTAAACGGGCAGTGTCTGAGCCCATTGGCTTAGCATTCAAGGCCCTCCAGCCTCCCTAACTCATTGCACCTGCTTCCTCCTCCTCTCTCTCCCAGCTCCAGGCTTGAACATGTTTGTACAAGTGTCTCTGCACATCTGCCCTTTCCTGTGTCTACCGTTCATCATGCATGCATACATGTATAGTGGATCTCTCAGTTCACGGTTACTTCATCTGTCCTTACTTTTCTGACCCTACCAAGGCCACCACTCTGTTCCTACCACCCTCTTTGCTTGTAATTTATAATAGCTTGCATCCCATTCACTTGAATTTTTATCTCTTCCCATTAAATATGGATTCCTTGATTGCAGGGCAGGCCCATGTTGAGTTGATCTCTGTGATCCTCCTGCCCAGCAGAGACTCTGGTGCACAGTGGCCATCAGTATTATTTTTTGAATGGACTAACAAAGTGAATAAGACCATGTCTCTTGGTTTTTCTGAAGGAGAGATACTTGGACCAGCCCTGGCAGAAAACACAGGACTCACAGAACTTAACATAAGCTGGAATCACCTACGAGGCCTAGGAACCATAGTATTTGCTAAGGGACTAGAGGTATGAGATCCTTGCCCCATCAACGCTTGAGGCTTGGCATTTAAGGCAGGTCTTTCCTTTTCCAGCTCCTGTCTCTGAAACTATCCAGAAATGAACCTTGGGTCTTTTGTTTGTTTGGTTTTGGTGGTACTTGGGTTTGAACTCAGGGTCTAGGCAGGCACTCTACCACTTGAGCCACTCTGCCAGCCCTTTTTTGTACTGGGTATTTTAAGACAGGATCATGCTTTTTGCCCAGGTTGTCCTCAAACCATGATCCTCCTGATCTGTGCCTCCTAAGGAGCTAGGATTACAGGCATGAATCACCAGTGCCTGGCTTGAACCTTGGATCTTTTAAGAAGAGACTAAAGGGTGGTTCTCTAGGTAACTTTTGTTTTCTGGTCCCATTTAATGACCACAATATGCTATGCTTATTCTCATGTCACTTACTGAAATGTCCACAGCTGATATCAAGTATCTTCTCCAGACATCACAGACACTCAGCTGGTGGGTTGCATCTGTGCAGTCTAGTGGCATGCTTATTTCTGGTATACACAGATACTTTTTCTAAGAGGACACCCTTATGCCCTTGCATGACACCCTCTCAAACATCTCACCTGCTCCCTTGCATGTCGTGGATTTGGAACAGGTAACTCAAGCCCTGCCACGGTGAGACATCTTCAGATATCTTCAATGCTCTCGGTGCCAACTACTTTTTGTGGGGACCACCCCAGGAAATGATAGCCACTGCCTTGCCCTCTCCCAGGGGCTGATCCTAAGAGTTCTTCCCCACAAGTTAATAGGTTAGAGCCCCCATGTTCTCCCCACCCCAGTCACTCTGACAGGCTTTATCCAGCAGTCCTTCACTGGGCCCCTGGGGCTGTGTGTGTCTCAGGGTCCCTGCCCTTAAAAGGCTCCCAAGGGGGCATGGATCTGTTCAGTGTGTCTCTGACCCAGCCTCCTCTGTGGTGTTTCAGGCTGGTTGGCTTTACTGGTCGCTATTTGGTCTCAGAATGACTGGGGGGGGGGTCTGTGCAGTACTTTGATCACTCTGCCCTGGGACCTCTGCCCCTCTAAACTTTGTCCCTGCTCAGGCCTCCTGGGCTCTGAAGCTCTGGTCCCCTGGCTTTCTGCAACATCAGATGTGGACCTCTGACTTTGCTCTTTGCATTCTAGGCAAATATCTTCCTGAAAGTCCTGGATATCTCTTATAATGGCTTTGGAGACCCTGGCGCCTCTGCAGTAGGCGAGGCCTTCAAGGCCAACAACGTATTGGAGGAACTCAACATGAGGTGAGAAGAACAAGGGTAGTGCTCTATGCGCTGTGATATCGTTGCTGTTCAGTTTAATTTCTGAACCTACCACAGTCTACCCAAGATGGGGCTTGAGCCACAATCCCAGAGCACCCGTCTATGTCCCTTCTCACTCAAGGTCACCACTTATACATTGAGACTTATACCTACGGTGCAGGCAGGTGACTGGGGATCACAAATGTGCCGAGCATCATTAGAGGGCCTGGGGTAGGATGGCCCCCAGGAGAGTTTTCCTTCATCTCAGAGGAGCCTAGTCTGGATGGGCAAGAGAGGGCTCTGACATCAGGTCCATGGGCATACTTTGCTGAGAACATGGCTGCTGGGGGCCTGATCTCCATGTCAGGCAGGGTTTCTGCCCTCAGTAGATAATGGGGTACAGGGAAAGCCCAGTGGGAAGGAAATCAGAGGCCAGGCAAGTCATGGGTTGCTTTGGTTGAATCTCTTCCCCAGCAGCTGTCCCATTCAGGCACAGAGTCCCCACTGGATCCAGCCCACTTTGCCTCCCCAAAGGAAGAGTCAAGACTAGAGGCACCCATAAGACATGCTAAAATCCATCACAATGTACCCCAGTACAATAATAATAATAAAAGAGATGCTAAAATCCAAGGCACAGGCAGAGCTGGGATATGAGATGTCAGAAAGAAGTGAGACTGGCTTCAGACACCAGGTGGCCCAGAACTGAGGCCTGGAGTTTGGGTACAGCAGGCAGAGGAGGAGAAAGAGAAGATATGGACAGGTTGCTGGGAGATTTTCCAGAATAGATGTTGTCATGGTAATAGGGTAGAACGTGTGGTAGCACCTGCTGAACTCAAAGGGCCAAAGAGTGACAGCTGGTCCCCACCAGGGGGAGGGACACTCCAGGTGGGTTCTCCCTTGGTGAGCTCCCTGAACACTGAGAATCATCCACAAGGCAGTAACATATCCACCTTTTACATATTAACCTATTCTGGGGCTGGAATATGAAGTCAACCTGGTGTATACCATGGTAACTCCAGCAGGGACCCTGGGGCAGTCAGACCAACAAACTACTAGAAGGCTGCAAGATGTATAAGTCTTCTTCTATGCTGGAGGCATGGATCAAGCAGTAGAGAGCCTGCCTAGCAAGTGTGAAGCCCTGAGTTCAAACCCCAGTACCATCAAAAAAAAAAAAAAACCTACATAAGTCTTGTTTATCAACACATACTACTTGCATATGAATGGAATTTGTGTGACAGTTCCATACATACATACTGCATGCAGTTATCAAATCTAATTTCCCTTTTTCCACCTTCCCCCACATCTTTTCTAAATCATTATTCTATTCTATTTTCAGGTCCACTTTTTTTTTTTTTTTTTTTAGCTTCCACATATGAGAGAAAACTTGTGGTACTAGTTTTCTGTGTCTGGTAATTTTCACTTAATATAATTTTCCAGTTCCATCTGTTTGCTGCAAATGACAGAATTTCATTCTTCTTTATAGTTGAATGATACTCCAAACTGTACATATACCACATTTTTGTTATTCATCTATTGATGGGCACCTAGGCTGATTCCATATCTTAGCTATGATGTCTTTTTTGTTGCAGCAACAACCGCATCTCTCTGGTGGGAGCCCTGAGCCTGGGGCAGGGCCTCCGGGTCAACCAGACACTGAGAATTCTTATTGTGAGTGCTAGCCTGATGGGGGAGGCCCCAGCACAGACCTGTCCTGTTCATATCCACACAGATCCTTCTCCCACCACATCCTCCCACCCAGGGGCTGTGCATGGGCAGCAGTGGACACAGGCTTCAGAGCCTTGACGGGGAATTTTTGGAAGGGTGGGCCTCCTGGCTTCTGTTTGTGGCCACTTCCCCATCTACCATTGTGTCTCCCACCTCTGATCTGGCTCACACCTGAGTTTTCAGACTCCTCCTCTGTCCATCTATCCCTCCCAGCAACTCCCCACAATTCCTTGCTGCCTTCCCTCCTTCTCTTGTGAGGGTGCTGTTCTGCTGAAGATGGACAAACACCCTTAACTTCACCTTCACCTTCTCCCCATGCTTCCGCTGGCCTTGCTGACACTCAGGGTCAGACCAAGTGGCAGACCACCCTGAGGCCTGTGTGCCCGGCAGGAGTTCCCTTTCTCCAGGACTACAGGTGGGAGAGAGCCACTGGGCAGCACAGGTCCCAGGGAACTGCTATACAGATAGCATGTACCACAAGACAGTATCGTCAGCTGATGATGTGTGGGGTGGCATCTGGCTCTGCCTGGCTCTCAACCCCCACCCTCCACCTTCTCAGTGCTGTTCTCATTAGTTCTCATATCTCTTGCTCTCACAGGAACCCAGATCTCTCTCTGCAGTTTAGATCACATTTCCAGCCACCTGCTGGATGATTCCCAAGTCACAATAAACTCTGAATGCATCACCTCCTTCTGCCTCTTGCTGGGGGCGGGGAGGGGAGAACCAAGTCAGAAGCCGGGGCCTGGAGCCTGATCCATCCCTGCCTTCCTCACATCTTCCCTCCAGAGCCCCTCACCTCCTACTTACTGCTCCAGATTGTCAGCCCCTCCCTTTATTCACTTCCTCTCTTCAGTTCTGTTGACCTGCTAGTGTCTCAAGTTCTGATTCTTCTTCCTACTCACTACCTGGTGAAATTTCTAAGCCAGAAACATACCCCTATCACTCCGTGCTTTAAACCTGTTACTTCTGATAAATAAATCCGAGCTTTGTATTCCCTCAGTCTATCATATAGGATCGGGGCTCTGCCAGCCCCCTCTCCCAAGTTCACAACTCTCAGCCCAGCCAGCTCAGAATTCAGCACACACAAGGTTCTATTTTCCACTTCTGCTTTTGTTATTGCTGCTTTCACTGAAATGCCCAGTTTCACCTCTCTTGTAAAGCTCAACTCAGGAATCCTGCTCTCCTCCTGGTGGAACCAATGTACTCTCTCTTGTTGTACTTCTCACTCTGAGTGAATAAATGATATCTATCCTCCAGTGGGGAGGCTCTTTAATGGCCAGGTGCTCTGGGTGGGTGCCCCTTTCCCTGCCCAGCATCCTTACCCAGGGCACTCTATCCCATGGTGACACGCCTGCTGAGCTGAGATGGTAGTCATCCTAGCCATCCCATTACAGATAAGGAATCCTTCTCCCCTTTCACGTTGCCTTCTGGCCTCCCTGTGCTCCACTTCTCTCAGTTCTGTCTATGTGTCTTTCTTAGGTGTCCAGGAATCCTATGCAAAGTGAAGGCTGCTTTGGTCTCCTTAAGTCTGTCCGGGACAATCCAGCCTCTGCCCTAGAACTACTGGATTTCTCTGTAAGAGCCTCTCATAAGCCTCATCTCTGGTCTTCCCAACAGCCCTGTGAGCTATTAGCATTTCCATTTTAGAGAAATAAAGTGGGGATTCGATCATAGATCCAACCCAGGCTCTGGGCTGATAGTTTTCTGTGTTCTCACCTTGGTTCTTCATTGGCTGAAAGAGAAGGGGTAGAGGATGGAGGCACAATGCTCACTGTCCACAGGTGTTTACATCTGCAGGTTCATCTGTTGAACACCTCCCCCCCTTGCAGGTAAGTCATGGTACTGGAGGATTCACTTTTGTGGCAGTGAGGGAGATTAGGACTCTTTTTTATTCGTATTTGCTTTAATATGGAAAAAATCTCTGTCTCTAAGTCTCTCTCTCTCTCTCTCTCTCTCTCTCTCTCTCTCTCTCTCTCTCTCCCTCTCTTTTGGTGGTGGTACTGAACACTTGGGAAGTGGCAAGAGGATCATGAGCTGGAGGCCACCAGGGCAAAGTTAACAAGAGCCTATCTCAAAAACAAAATACAAAGACAAAAGGGCTGGGGGTGTGGCTCAAGTAGTAGAGCACAGTGTGAGGCATGGGTTCAATCCCCATTATACCCTGCCCCCAAAAAAGAAAGCATACCCCTAAGAGCCTCCTGGAATCCCCTTCTCTATTTTAACAGTTTGGGGGTGTGAGATTGTCATCCACAGGGGAGAAGCTGCCCAAAGGAGCTTCTTGGAGACCTGTGTGTAAGTAAGAATAACTGAGTTCTTAGAAGGTAATAATCACTTCTGGTAATGGGTTTCCCCTTAGGACATCCAGGTGAACAGAGAGTTCGATGACCTTGCTAGCTCCGTGAAGGTAATTCTTCCAGGGTTCACTTAAAGACTGGTGCTCGCAGAGTGGAATATAAAAAAGAGTTGCTGCCATCCTTCAGACCATCCTTACCAGCCTCTACCCCTAAATGACTCTGAAGTGTGGATTTCTCCTCTAAGAAGCCACTTCAGCTTTCACATTGAGGACCATTTGATTCACTCATGCCTTCCTCTCTGCCCTATGTTCCCTGATGAAATTTAGGCCTTCATTTGCCATCTGTCATTCATATAACCCAAACACCTCCTATATGCTGCACACCAACCTGGACATGGAGTCAAAGTTGTCCCTGTCCTCCAGATGTTCATGTTCTGGTAAGCTTGGTAGACAAAATATAAGGAGGTATACAACTGGCAAGAATGCAAACTGTCACAATCTTTTTGGAAGGCAATTTTTCATATGCACTGAGCCATAAAACTGCCCATGACCTTTGATCCAATCATTTGACTAATCTGCTCTCCAGAAATAATCAGAGATGCATAAAAATATGGATACCTGCCAGGTGCACTTGGGAGGTAGCCACAGGAGGAATGTGAGTTTGAAGCCAGCCTGGAAGACCCTGTTTCAAACAAACAAAAAACAAAACAAAACAAAATGGTGTCTGAAAATGTTCACTGAAATGCTGTTTATAATAAAATCTGGAACTCTACCAATATTAAAACCCATGTGCTCAAAAGACATCAAACAATTCATGAAAATACACGTTAAGTTGAGTGAGAATATCAGAATGAAAAAATCATATGGTTTGTCTGGTAGTCCTTCAAAAAGTTAATCATAGAACTACCATATGGCCGGGCTCTGGTGGCCCATGCCTGTAATCCTAACTACTCAGGAGGCAGAGATCAGGAGGATCGCAGTTCGAAGCTAGCCCAGGCAAGCAGTTTGTGAGACCCTATCTCGAAACACCCTTCACAAAAAAAAAAAAAAAAAAATAGGGCCAATGGAGTGGTTCAAGGTGAAGGCCCTGAGTTCAAGCCCCAGTACTGCAAAAAAAAAAAAAAAAATTACTATATGACCTAGTAATTCCACCCCTAGAGAAATGAAACTCCACTCAAGAAAAAAATGAAAACAAATGCCATGCAAAAACTTGTACATATGGGGCTGGCAGAGTGGCTCAAGTGGTAGAGTGCCTGCCTAGCAAGTGGAAAGTCGTGAGTTAAAACCCCAGTACCGCAAAAACAAAAAAATCTTACACAGGCATATTTATAGCATTGGTTGTAGTATCCAAAAAAGTGGAAAGACTCACCAAATACAGTGCAGCATATCCATATAATGGAATATTATTTCGCAATAAAAATGAATAAAACTTGGGGTGATAAATGTTCTAAAACTGATTATGGTGATGGTTGTACAACTCTGTGCACATGCTAAAAGGAAATGAATTGTACACAATGTTTTGAATGAGAGAACGAGTGAATTATATCTCAAGCTGTTTTTGGAAAAGGATTGATATGTGCTTCATGGGTGGAACTTGAAAACATGATAAGTGAAAGAAGTGAGAGGACCACATATTGTATCATTCTGTTTATATGGAATGTTCAGAGTAGGCAAATCTACAGAGACAGAAAGTAGTTGCCCAGGGCTTGGTAAAGGCAGAATTTCAGGGTTGACAGCTGCAGGATATGGGTTTCATTTGGAAATGATAAAAAATGTTCTAAAATTGATTCTGGTGATGTTGTGCAACTCAATGGATATACCAAAAACCAAGCCTGGCATGGTGGTGCATGCCTGTAGTCTCAGCTACTCAGGAGGCCAAGGCAAGAGGATAACTTGAGCCCAGGAGTTTGAGGCCAACCTGGGCAACACAGCAAGAGTCTTCCCAAGTCTTGCCAGGTGCTGGTGGCTCACGTCTGCAGTCCTATCTACTCAGGAGGCAGAGATCAGGAGGACTGTGGTTTGAAGCCAGCCTTAGGCAAATAGTTCACAAGACCCAATCTCAAAAAAACCCAATACAAAAAAGGGTTGGTAGAGTGGCTCAAGGTGTAGGCCCTGAGTTCAAACCACAAAAAATAAAATAAAATAAAAATAAAAAGTTGGCCTTAGTACCATGGGTCTGTTATCGAACTACACTGGTAGCATAACAGGAGGATTGCAATCAAGGCTGGCCTGGGCATAAACTTGACAACCTATCTGAAAAACACCTTAATCAAAAAGGGCTGAGGACAAGGCTAAAGTGATAGAATGCCTGCCTAGCAAGGGCAAAGCCCCAAATTCAAACCCCAATACTGCCAAAAACCAAAAACCCCAGACATGACACAGATTTTAGTTCAGTTATGTGCATAGTGTAGTTAGAACTTTGAAGGAGGATGCTATAGAGTGAATTGAATTATAACCCACCGATTATATATTGAAGGTCTTATCTCCAGAGTGACTGTATTTGGAGGTAGAACCTAGAAGGAGAGAATTAAGGTTAAATAATGTCATAAGGATGAAGGCATCATCTGACAGGATTAGTATCAAGAGACCAGAGACTTTGTATGAGAACATAGTGAGATGGTGACTGTGTGCTACTATGTGAGGACAAGTGACAGTGTGGGCAGTTGTCTACAAGCCAGGAAGAAAGGCTTCTGGGCACTGGTGGTTCACACCTATAATCCTAGCTATTCAGTGTTAGGGTTATCAGTGAAAACAGCCATGCTAGAACCAGACTCCCTCCCCGTTTGCAGGTAGCTTACTAGAAACTCCCCATCCAACCCCAAAGACTGACGAAGGGACAGTTGTTAATCTTTATCTCTAGGTGGGTGCCAAGGAGAGTTGAGCAGACAGTACCTAACCACAACTTATCTTTCTTGGTTGTCCAGCCTTCCAGGTACTTTTCCACTAGCCTCCTATATCTAGCTCAAGACTGTGTGTGGCAATGGGCTCTAGCTGTCTTACTGGGGTCCCCCTCCACAGGGCTCCTGTCCGAACAATAAACCCTGTGCTGGTGTTTGAGCTGTCCCTCTGCCTCTTCCATGCCTCTTTCATTTCTAACACTCAGGAGGATCGTGGTTCAAAGCCAGCCCAGGCAAATAGTTTGCAAGGCCAAATCTCAAAAAAACAAAAACAAAACCAAAAAAAAACCCATCACAAAAAAAGGGCTGGTAGAGTGGCTCAAGGCGTAGGCCTTGAGTTCAAACCCAGTACTAAAAAAAAAAAAAGAAGGAAGGGAGGGAGGGGAGAGAGAGAGAGAGAGAAAAAAAAAAGAAAGAAGGAAGGAAGGAAGGAAAGACAGGCTTCTGGGTCTTCTAGCCTCCAGAACTATAAGAAAATAAATTTATGTTATTTCAGCTACTCAGGCTATGGTATTTTGCTACAGCAGCCAGGAGCTGAATAATACAGAAGGAACTCTGCTGATCTACTCCATGTTCCTCCTCCTGCTGCCAGAAGGATCTTTGTTTCTTTGTTTTGGTCCTGGAGTTTGAGCTCAGAGGCTCTTGCATCCATGGCAGGCAGGCTAGCACTTGAGCCACACCCTGTCCTTTTTGCTTAGTTACTTTTCCAGTAGGGTCTCCAGTTTTTGCCCAGGCCAGTCTGAACTGCGATTCTCCTATTTACACTTCACACATAGCTGGGTGACAGGCAAGCATCACCACGCCCAGCTTTCTTGGTTGAGAAGAGAGGTCTTGCTACCTTTTTGCCCATCCTGGCCTTGAACCTCGATCCTCCCAATCTCTGCCTCCCAAGGAGCTGGGATTACACTGTACCTGGCCCCAAACAATCTTTCTAAGGGCAGACCTGATGGTATTATTCAGAGGCTCCCCATGCCTTCAGAAAAGTCCCAACTCCTTCACCTGGTGTACCCCACTGCATCAGGCAAGTTCCTCGCTCTGCTTAAAGAGGGAAAATTAAAGGTTGGTTCAGCCACCCTCAGAATGCTGCATTTTAGTGATGAGCTGGGAATACACCTAGATTCCTCCTCCCGTGCTTTTCCCAATAGTGCATACACCGGATCCTAAAGAAAGTTAAGACTATCTTTAGGATGGAAGAATCTGATAACTGTTTCAAAGTCTTCCAAAATGGGACTGAGTCCCAACCCAGTTCCTTTCAGTGCCTGAAAACAAACTTCTCCCTAAAGAGGTCCTGTCCAGTTAACAGGTGCTGCATGAGAATGTTTTTTCTGCACCAGGGAATGGGTGAAAGAGAGGAGTTGTGACTTTGAGTAGGTGGCGGGAAGTTCTCTTGGAGGTGGTCATGTTTGAAAAAAAAATTGAATGAAGAGCAGGGAGGAGCTGGGTGCTCAAGCCTGTAATCCAGGCACCATGGGAGGCAGAGATTGGGAAGATCTCTGTTGGAGGGCAGCATGGGCAAAAAGCCAGACCCCATCTGAAAAATAACTAAAGCAAAAAGGGCTGCAGGGAGGCGTAGCTGGAGTGGTAGAGCACTGCCTAGCAAATACAATACTTTTAGTTCAAATCCCAGTATCGCCAAAAAAAAAAGCCGGAAGGCAAGCAAGCCTGGAGCGCCGAGGGAAAGGGTCAGCAGAACAACGTCCTTTTCCTTTGGTCATTTGCACGCCACGGCCTTACGTGCTTGACAATGTCTTACACTCCAATGAACGAGTGCGCCGAGGCTGTTGCAAGTTCGTAGTCACAGACGGCTGCTGAATTCCGGATCCCATGGCCGCAGTCAGCGACTCAGCAGCCTTCCCGCCAAAACAGAATCCAATCAGAGAGCGCCATCTCTCGAAGGCGCCACGGCCAATTATACACGGGATCTGGCCCTCGACCCGCCCCCGAGGAGCTCTGGACCAATGACCACCTGGGAAGCAACGGATTGCTACTCCGCAGGGCGCGGGCGGAGGAGGGGGCGGGGTCAACAGTTAAGCGCGTGGCGGCTGTTGAGGTCTGTTAGTGCAGCGGGCAGCGTCGGAGGAGCTCACCATGGTAAGGTGCCCGGGTCGGGCGGAGGGCACTGCGGGTCTCGGCGGGGAGAGGAACCACGAGATGCACTCAGGAGCCCCGGAGGAGGACAACTCGCGAACACGTGGGCTCGTCTTCCGTGTTTTCAGGCTCGGAGGGCAGAGGTGACCC